AAAAGAGTGGGGTGATGGTGGATTTGATCGACATGAATTTATCTCTAGGTTGTGAACGTACAGCTGTGGAGATGGCGACGAAAGCTAGAAGAACCGAGAAGGTGAAGTGGAGATTGTCTTGAATGGCAAAAACAGTATTAGATCAGTCGTTAATGAGTCACGTTAGCATTCTGTCGCTTCCCAATAACAGTTATTAGGGTTGAGAGCTCAATTTATTATAAATCAATAACATTATTGTAATACCCTTGATCCGTACCCAACCCGAATACGAGTCCGAGGTGTCAAATTGACTTTTCAAAACATTTACTTTTACATAAGAATGAAGAATTTCAAATTATTTAAAAACAATTTATTTACAAAACATATCAAAGCATATAAAATTTCAATCTCTGAATTACATGCCAAATATATTCATTAAAACAAAATACATATTATTCATTTCTCTTCTGATCTAACTTTTGGTATGGAGAAACTGACATGTCTTGCTCCTCTTTGCTCTTTAATCTTCTCAGAATTTAAATGTGAAACACTCACACGCTAAGTCGATGAGTTAGTTAAATATAACATCTAAATATTATTTCCTACTATGCACACTTCATGTAATCATATTAATTATAAAACACATTATGCATCAAACATAAATACATACATATGCATAATATCTCATTATCCTTATTATTATTAGCATTATTTTCATTCTTATCTCTTAGTCATATGCTCTTGTATCTAACATTCTTAACCAAACCATATACACATCATCATGTCACATATATCACTCCACAAAGAAACAAACATATAATCATACCAAATTTATTTATATTATCTTTTATTAGCCCATGTACACATGTGAGAACTAAAGATATGTGAGTACATAGAGGTTGTGCACATATGTTGTCATCACAGCTCATATAATTCTCACTTAGTGGCATATGAAATTTGTTCCGAAGGACCACATATCACATCTATGTCCCGAAGAACCACTCCTTAATAACCATATACATATTCCAATGGATCAAATAAGTGTACCGAAGTACCGCATATATGTTTCAAAGGATTACATATATGTCCCGAAGGACCACGTAGAACCCTCGACTCTTGGCATGCCAACTATACCTCTAACTCTCATGTCACATAACATGGGCATTATCTTTATACTTGTCACATATTCACTTATTCATATCACATAGACACATAATTTCATAATTTTTTATCAAATAGCTCATGTAGCACATATAGCTCATATTATTTCTCATATGTTCATGTATGTCATAACATATGGCTCATATCATATTCTCATGTATCACATATATATTGTCACATAATTTATATCATGTGATCATCTATTCACATAGATTGTATTTCATATTCATATAATTCTTTATATTCATTTTGTCATATATGTATCATATTACATAGCTTCATTACATTAACATATATTTACACAGATCATATAACATATACAATAACATATAACACATACACTCTGTTAGGATTTTTGGAAGCTCGAAACGACAACCGGAACGATTTGCAAAGAGGGTCGGAACGGTTTTGTGTTTAGGGAGTAAGGAGATTGAAAGATAGAGAATTGCACAGCGATTTATAGTGGTTCGACTTTCTCAAACAAAGTCTACGTCCACTACCTTAGCTCCTCACCAAGGATTTTCCAACAAATTCACTAATTTGTTCTTTCTTTTGAGGATAAAGAGTAACCTTACAAACTCCCTAGTTTTTCCGGGCTAAACTAGAACCTTTCCCTAGCTTTTACACGGGATAAGCTAGAACCTTTCCCCTTTACAAAAGGATAAAATAAGTAAACAAGAAAACCTCTCTAAGGTAGGTGTTTACAAGATTGAGCTCACAAGAACAAAATATTTACAAGAGAAAGATGAAATAAGATTGAAAAACTATTCTCTTGTGTTTGATTGCTTGGATAGTTGTTCTCTTTCTTCTTCAAGTGTCCTTAGCTTGTATTTATAGCTTGGAATGAGTTTGAAGTCGTATCTAGCCGTTGGGGATGTTTTGGAGCCGTTTGGGAATGATTTTTCTACTCAAAAAGGCTGCCCATAATGGGGGGAATCGGTACCCCTTCATAGGGAATCGATACCCCTTCATAATATATTCAAATATTATGATCGTTGGGCTGATGAACAGTGAGGGAATCGGTACCCCCTTGGGGAGAATCGGTTCCCCTTTTACAAACTGGAATTTTTGAGCCTCGGGTCCCCTTCATAAAAACATTTTTGTGCTCAATTTTAAATTAAAAGAACTTTGAATTATTTTTTGTAAATTTTGAATAAATTCAATTAAGTCCAAAAACATTTTGTAAATTCAATTCAAGTCCAAAAACCATTTTGTAAATTCAATTCAAGTCCAAAAACCATTTTGCCTTAAATTGTTATATCGAAACATAGTTCAACACACTCATATTCAAGTACTCAGTCACACACAACACTCATATCAACACATGCCTATATTCATGAATTCATGCATTATAATATAAGAAATAGACTCATCGCAAGTCTTATTTCCCTTAAACATCATATACAAACTAGTACGCACTCACCTGGCCTCACTAGTCAATACCGATCTCTTATCTTTTTCCTCGATGACTATTACTTGTCGACTTGTCCAGACTTTGCTCTCGATCGATATCTACACAATCATACATATTATATACATATCAGCATTCCAAATATCATAATTCATTCCTTAATTTCTTAGACCAAAAGAAATGCTTAATTCTATTTTCTACTTGAAGTAGTATCGGTACCCCCTGTATGGTACTGATACTTCCTTAGCTGTGGTATTGATACCAAGCCTGGTATCGATACCCATTTTGCATTCGAAACCCTTGTTTCAAAAATTGGTACTGATACTGACTTTATGGTACCGGTACTCTTGGTATTGATACTACCCTCCAGGTATCTATACCCCATGAATGCCTTTGTCAAATTCAAGCTTATAGTATTGATATTGTTTAACCAGTATTGATACCCCTATACCAATTATCACTCTTTTACTCTTGAAGTATCGGTACTTGAAAAAGCATTACCGATACTCATAGCCTAGAATTCACTTTTTAAACCTGAAAATTTACTCATATCAGCTTAATTCCTTCATGTTATATTCTCTTTCATACTCTTAACTCAAGTACACATACTCAAACCAATTTCTATTCATCTAACACATCCTTATCTTCAAAATCCCATCCTATATATTGAAATCAAGAATCCTACCAATTTTTCAACATGTTATAATCTCAATTATAACACTTCATATTTCTTAATTTAGGTGGTGACAAGTCAATTTTCACTTCAAAACTTATTTATCAACTCTTTCTCAATAATTCCCTTAAAACTCTTTATCTTCAATCTTACATAACTTATTCATCTTTGGGTTTTAAGTCACCTTAAGCATTCCCTAAGCTTTCTTAATCCTCCAAGAATCAAAACCCATCATAAAATTAAGGAATAATCAACTTGTAAGAAACTCACCTTTTAATTGAGCTCACGGGAAGAAGAAGAAGTTGAACCCAACTCTCTAGATCTTTCTTTTCCATTATCACCTCTCATTTCCACGTGGTTATATCCTTTTATAAAGGAAAAAATAAAAATCTTCCTTTGAAAATACCAATTTACCCTTACTTCATCAAATATTTACTAAACAATCATTCACAAAATATTCTTAAATAAGTCCTTGAACTTTTCAATCTTTTGAAATCATACCTCAAAGTTTCAGAACTTCTATTTTGGTCACTAGCCCTAATTTTGGGATGTTACAATCATTATTCGAATTATTAATTTTAAAAATATCAATAGAATAAAGAAAAATTTACTCAAATATAAGTGATCATATAGTTTACCTTTTAAATAATCATTATGATATTAATAACTTTCTAAAGCTTAATACAAAAATAAAATTCAAACTATACATTTTTTTCATATTTACGTATCTAACTTTTTTGTCAATATAGTTGTCTAACGTTACGTTACTATTTTAAGTACCTCTAATGTACGATCGTTAAAAAATCTCGTTAAGCGGCACATGACGTGTTTAGAAATTTTTTAAAATTATATTTAAAATAAAAAATTGCAATTATAATTAAAAAAACATAAAATTTTGAAAATCATAATTCCTACCCCTTTACTCATATTGACTGTCGTCTTCTGTTACGGTTGTCGTGTACTGAAACTCCACCCAATCGAACCTCCATCGGACGAACAACTATTCGACGAACCGATTTTAAACTTGATGAACAGTAAAGGGAAAATCGCAACATTCACACAATCTGACGGTAAGCACGACAGTAAGGGCAACGATAACATACCAGTGACGACGATTGTGATTGGCAAGGGAGATGATAAGAATAGTGTAGAAGTTTTATGAATGGTTTTAAGGATTTTAGCTTTTTTATTTTAGAGAAATTAGTATTTTTATGTATAATAATATTTCTAAGTTTTTAAATAATTTTTTTTAAAATAAGAGCAACTCGTGTCATTTAACATCCTCTTTTAACGTCTGTTACGGACAAGAACCCTAAAATGATAAGGTTCATAACGTTAGACACCCTCATTAACCGAAAAAAGTTTAATCATCTAAATGAGAAAATATATATAATTTAAACACTTTTTTATAACTAAACCTTTCTAAAATATATATAATTAAAATAAATAACACGTCACCGAACACATTAAATTAGAATTCTTAGGTACCTCTTCTAAAGAAAAGAATTCTTAGAAAAAACTAAAAATTGCATTTGGAATGGATTTTGGTTTCATTTGAATTTGCTTGCTAATCGTACCTAAGTACCTAACCCCAAACATGACCCATCTTGCTTTTATTTAAAGCATATGGGGGAAACACTGCTCCGCTACCTGCTTCTATTTCTTCCCTTTCAATTTTCATCTCTCTACTCTCTCCCTGTCACATGATAAAAGCTTCCTTTATTTCTCCGTAATTTTCCATTCTACATTATAATGTAAAAGAAAAAAAGATTTTTTTTTCTAGTTTTGTTGGTTTCTTTGTTTTCCTTGTTTGATGGGAACTGTGTTAAAGAAGAACAAAAATGGTGGAGAAATTAAGACAGGACAGTGATTATTATTTCTCTTTAGTTGTAAAATGCTACAACTTATGAACAATTTGGTTATTGTTTGAGTTTCAATCTTGGTTGAATCTCTTTAACAACAACATCCATTGACAATTTTTAAAGAATAAAAGATCTGACATCCAAAAAAAAAGAAGAAAAAAAATTGTTCATTTCATCATCCACCATGAAGAGATCTGGAAGCTCAGATTCTTTGGGTGCTTTGATGGCTATTTGCCCAACGTCAGGTCTAATAAAACAAAACAATATTTTATTACAAAACAACAGTCTTTGGTGTTCTCAGTGTCTTAATCGTTGTTGATTATGTTTTGATTTTGGTACAGATGAAGATGGTCCCAGAAACAGCAACAATGTTTACAGTAGGGAGTTTCAGTCGATGTTGGATGGATTAGATGAAGAAGGTTGTTTCGAAGAATTGACGGTCGGCAATGGCGGCGGCGGAAAGAAGAGACGATTAAGATTAGATCAAGTGAAGGCATTGGAGAAGAATTTCGAAGTCCAAAACAAGCTCGAACCCGAACGGAAAACGAAACTCGCTCAAGAACTCGGCTTGCAACCACGACAAGTTGCTGTCTGGTTCCAGAACCGACGCGCTAGATGGAAAACCAAGCAATTGGAGAGAGATTACGGTGTTCTTAAAACCAGTTACGAACCTCTTAAGCTCAATTACAATACCCTCCGCCATGAAAATGAAGCTCTTCTCAAACAGGTAAATTGATAATAATCGATTGATTTATTATAGTAAGCTCGGGAATCTCTGGGTTTAATTTGTAACCAAAGTTGAAGGTCTGAAAATGGTGCAGATTAATGAACTGAAGGATAAGATTAACGAGCAGCCGGTTGCGGAACTGAACCGCGGCAGTGGATCAGTCGGTGGAGGTGGCGGCGTTTTCCCGGAAATGAAAGACGGATCGTCGGATAGTGATTCGAGCGCTATCTTGAACGAAGACAACAACAGCAACGGAGATAGCAACGGCGGTAGCCCAAGCAACGCGGCGGCGTGTTCATCGCCGTCCTCCATGAGCAGTTGCTTCCAGTTGTTTAAAACGAGTTATGTGAAGATGGAAGAGCATGATTTCATCAGTAGTACTGCAGATGAAGTTTGCAATTTCTTTGCCGATGAGAAAGCTCTGAATCTTCAATGATGGGACTGAATCAACAGGGTATGAAATTATGGGATTTAAAAAAGAGAAAATAATGTATTGATCGAAAATATTTTATAATATATTATTTTAATTAAATTTATTTTGAATTTATAAAAATAACCAACAAATTCATAATGTAAATTTTAATTTCGCAACATAGTTTTTAAATTCGTAACGCTATTTTCTAAATTCATAATACGATTTTCTAAATTCGCAACGCGATTTTTCAAATTTAAAATACGATTTTTTAAATTTGCAACGCTAATTACCGATATAGGTAAACACAACTATCGCAACGCTAATTATTAATATAAGTAAACACAATTATCGCAACACGAATTTCGTTTTCGTAACACTAATTACCGACATAAATAAACACAATAGAAAAAATCTGGTAAAAAATTTTGAATTCGATAATTTTAAAACTGAGTTACGAATTTAACAATTTCGTGTTGCGAAATGTCAAATCTCGCCTCTTAAAGAAAAAATTAAAGAACATAAAATGCACTGGAGTGTTTTCAACCTGAGGCATCTCAGTTGTTAAGTCCACGTATAAATCACTCAGCTAAATGTACGCCTATAAATGAATTAAACAAACACGAACGAGCATATGTTATGTTCATTCGTTCGTTTGTTTAACTTTAACCAAATAAACGAACTGAGGCGAGATTTTACATTTTGCAATACGAATTTGGTAAATTCGTAACTCAGTTTTAAAATTGTCGAATTCGAGTTTTTTTATCGGATTTTTCTACCGTGTTTACCTATATAGGTAATTAAGTTACGAAATTGACGAATTCGATTTACGAAATTCGCGTTGCGATAGTTGTGTTTACCTATGTCAGTAATTAACGTTGCGAAAACGAAATTCACGTTGGGATAGTGGTGTTTACCTATATCGTTAATTAACATTGCGAATTTAGAAACTGTGTCGCAAAATTAGAGTTCGCGTTGTAAATTTATTGGTTATTTTCATAAATTAAAAAAAATAGTTAAAATCGTATATTATAAGACATTTTTTATCATTAAAGTTATTTTCTCTTTAGAAAAATAAAGTCGAACTCTCCGAGAATTTTGTCTGAAGAAGGAGGAGCAGAGGGATGAGGTGGGGGCCGCCGCGGAAGTAGTCAGCGAATGGGTTGCGAGTGACCACTGCGGTGGCGAATGTGGTGGGCGGGAGTGTGGGGGAATGATTCGTATTTGGAAGCGTTTTTGTCTTACCTTCTTCAGCTGTAAATGGGAAAAAATCTTCAAAAATCCATTGTGGAAAAGTAAATCTTTTTCATTGTAACGGTGAAAAAGCAGGGGAAAAATAATAAAGTAAATAATCATCCGCTTAGGAGTGTATTCGGTTCAGTTTTTATTATAGAACATTAATCGATTTACCATATGTCAATTTGGACTTTAGTATTATTCAGTAGTTATGTATTCGATGGCTCACTTGTAGAGTTTGGTATATATATAATTAGAAGACATGTAAGTTTTTTTTTTTTTTTGAGTTTAAAACTTGTATATTATTTTCTATGATTGAATTCTTTTTTTAATATATGAATGATTTTGAATTAATATAGAAATTGTTTTAAGATTTTTAAATATTTTAACAAAAATTTTAATTTTTTTGAATTTTCAGTGTGAATTGCTCCGATGATCTTAATGTAACATCTCAGATCGGATAGAGTCAGTCGTATCGATATGAGGGTATTACAAAATACATGAACTTTATTGTATCATAAAACTCGATATATATTTCAAAACTCTATATTTCTCAAAACACTCTTCCAGCATCCCTACAAAACTTATATATACAACAAAAACCTTAAAGTTATATATATCACAAAAATATTATTTCTCTTCAAAATAATTATGTCTCATAATTCTAAAGGTAAGATCATTTTATATTTATAGATAAAACAAATTTGATCACTAAGAATTCTTATTTCATACAAATTTTTATTCAAATAAACTTAATCACCAAATAATTTACGACACCTATAATTATAATAAAATACAACTTGATCGCACTAATATATAACAATCTCCTCATTGTCATAAATTTCATCTGGACATTTGATTTCAAGTCTTCAAAAATTTAAATTTGTATGTAAATTATATATCTATTTAAGTAATATTGATAAGTCTTTAATAATTTCAATTATCACATAATATTTGTTAGAGTAATTTAGATTAACTAAAAATTCACGTGTCTCCAATATCACTAAAACAATTCACATTAATAAATTTTTTCGAAACTGAACAACTTTAATTATAATTCTGATAGCACTTATTAGAAATTTGTGAGCAGAAAAATAATTAAAACTAGATGAACTGCGAGAGATGTGGTTTGATGTTGTTTATCCCCCAAAGAAAAAATAATAATAATAAATTATGAACATTAAGTTCTCAAAGAGCACAAATACATAAAATTCTCATATCTCAAAATATGATATTTTCAAAAATATTCTTTTAACCTCAAACTTTAAAAGTTGTAGAAATTACAAAAATGATTTCATCTCTTTATATTTATAGAGAAAACACATACGATCGTTAAGAATTTTTATTCAAATAAATTCAATCGTTAAATAATCTTCGACCAATAGATTTATAATAAAAATTAATTTAATTACCGGTAAGAATTTGATTCTATAAATAATAATATTTGTTATTCTTATTATTAATCAAATTATCACAGTTATAAATAAGGATTGTAACTCTATTTGAATACTTTTTTTAAATGATTTTTTATAATAACATTTGTAATAATTATAATACAAATTTAATTTTATCAATATTCCAATTAAATAAATTTATAGAGAAATATGTATTTAATCGCTCGATTTTTATTGTAATTATATTTTTGCCATTTAATTTTTAAAAAATTCACTTAATTTTTGAATTTTACTTTTTTCGTCATCCAACTGTTAATTGTGTAATCACGGTTCAAAAATAAACTTTCCTGAATTAACTTATGAAAAACTCATAAAACTTATTTGGGTGAAAAAATGTAGTTTACTCATAAATTTATTTGTTAATAAAAACGATAAATTTTATGCTCAATCACATCATCTCCTAATTTATATATTTTTATTAATCTCACTTAAGTAAATTTATTTAATATTAAATGGAAATAGTTATATATATATAACTATTTTATCTCCAAATTTATATTTTTTATTAATATTGCATGAACAAATCATTTAATAAATAGAAAAAAAGAGTTAATTTCTACTTTCAATTAGTTTATCTTTAATTTACATTTTTATCCATTTAAAATGGAGACAGTTTTATATTATTTCAAATAGTAATTATTTATATGATATTTTAACATATAAATTTGTATAAATATATGTCTTGTATTAAATATGTAAGAAACACTAAGGGTGCATTTGGTTCACGGAATGTAAGATTACCAGTGGGAATAAAAGATTACCAAGGAATATGATTACTGAGAATGTTGTATTTTGTGTTTGGTTGGTTTAGCAGGAATGTAAGATTATCATGTTTGGTTAAAGGAATAAAAGATTATTAGAATGTATATTTAACCAAATTGTCCTTATTATATATTTATTTTTAACAAGTTAAATTCTACTATAATATTACTATAATTAATTTATATATTTTCTTTAAAAAATTTAAATTCATAAAATTTCTATAATATTTTTTATAAAATTGAAAAGATAAATAGGTTTAATGAAAGGGTAAATTTTATTTTAACCCCTGAACTTTATTTAAAATTTTAATTATAGATTTTTTTTGTAAATATAAAATAGTTTAAGGATAAATTTTTAATTTAACATTCGTAGAATTTTTATTATTAAACGACAAAAGAATGATATTTTTGAAAAATAATTAAGGGTAGTTTAGTCCAAAAAGCTGATAATCCAACAATACCTAAGGGAAGGAGGTAATCACATTCCCAATAATATACCCAAAAAAATCTACTGTTGGTAATAAAAGATTACCGGGAATGGGATTATCGGTCAACCAAACGGGGAATAAGATTTCATTCCCCCAGTAATACAACATTCCTTGAACTAAACGGGGCCTAAAGGGTGTTTAGTTCAGGGTATCTCACATTACTAGGGGAATGGAATGTCATTCTCTTGTTTGGTTGGCAAATATTCCCAATCCCCGGTAATAAGTTATTCCTAACAGTGATATTTTGGGAGTATATTACTAGGAATGTGATTACCTCATTCTCTTATATATTGTTACATTCCCGATGTTTTGGAGTAAAATGCCCTTAATTTTTTTTCAAAAATATGATTATTCTGTCTTTGAATAAAAAAAATTCTGTGAAGGTTAAATTACAAATTTATCCTTAAACTATTTTACATTTACAAAAAGTCTATAATTAGAATTTTATATGAAGTTCAGGGGTTAAAATAAAATTTTGCCCTTTCATTAAACATGTTTATCTTTTCAATTTTGTAAAAAAAGTTATATAAATTTTATGAATTTAATTTTTTTTAAAGAAAATATATAAATTAATTATAGTAGAATTCAACTTGTTAAAAAAATAAATATATAATAAGGACAATTTGGTAAAATATGCATTCTAATAATCTTTTATTCCTTTAACCAAACATTGTAATCTTACATTCTTGCTAAACGAACCAAACACAAAATACAACATTTCTAGTAATCTTATTACTGCCAGTAATCCTATTCATACAAATAATCTTACATTCCGTGAACCAAACGTACCCTAAGATCTATTTCATTTTGATTCATGGTATTAAATTTAAAATATTAAATTCAAATAATTTTTAACATATAAATTAAATAAAAATATTTTTATTTCAATTAATAATATTAAATTAAAATTAAAATACCATAATTCAAATGATTTTAAATTTTTAAAATTTATTTTGACAGTCTAGTCATCATCATGGCCATGGTCGAAGCTTTAAACAGTTAAAAGACAAAAGATGATTAAAGGGATACCCTAGAAAGCAACGCCACATGATTGGATACCTCAAATATAAGGTGGGTTTAATTCGGTAGAATTTCTTAAAATTGATGGAAATTGAAATTCAATTCTACCACTTTCTCATGTTTGGTTCAAGTTTTTTAAGGGAATTGGAATCCCTCATGGTTTCAACTTTCCATCAAACGAGGAAAAGTGAATTTCATCTAAGAATAGATAGAATCCAATTCTCTTGTTAGAGGGAATTGAAATTTGACCACACTATCTTCATAAATCTTTTGGTAATTTATTCGTATATTGAATAAAAATATTTTTTTATTATTTCGGGTCGGGTTTCTAATTCATATATTCGGGTCGGTCAGGTGAAATTTTATTTTGGTCGGGTCGGTTTTTTTAAGTGTGAAATTCGGGTTGGGTCGGGTCGAGTTCGGGTTTAGGATGAAAAATATCCGACCCGAAAATATATATAATTTTACCTTATATATTTAGGAATAATTACAATAATGCCCATCTATATATAATTTTTTTCAATTAAGTCATTGTTTTTATTGAATAAAAATAATTTTTTATTATTTCGGGTCGGGTTGGGTCGGATTTCTAATTCATATATTCGGGTCGGGTCGGGTGAAACTTTATTTTGTTCGGGTTGGGTTTTTTAAGTGTTATATTCGGGTCGGGTCGGGTTTTTTAAAGTGTGATATTCGGGTTGGGTCGGGTTCGGGTTTAGGGTGAAAAAACCGGACCCGACCCAGAAAAAATATATAATTTTACCTTATATATTTAGGAATAATTACAATAATACCCCTCTATATATAATTTTTTTCAATTAAGTCAATGTTTTTATTAAATAAAAATAAATTTTTTTATTATTTCATGTCGTATTGGGTCGGGTTTCTAATTCATATATTGAATAAAAATAGTTTTTGGTATATTTTTTTGCAACTAATTAACATACTCTGATTGGAATGTATCGAAATATTGTTCTATCTTTTGGTAACTTATTAACATATTTTGATTGCGATTATTTTAACTTATGATGTTTATTAACATGATTTTTATAATTTATTGAAATGAATAATCAATCAATAAAATGAAATTTTAATATATTTTTTTTAAATTTTATAATATATTACTACATATTTTGTGTTGACTCTTTAGCAGCCAAAAGTTTCACAACTTAAACCCACTTTTATCTTCTAATTTATTTTTAAACACCCCCCCCCCCAAATAACCAAATAACACAATTCCATTTTTATGTTTTATTATTTATATTTATTTTCAAATTTTCATCCTTATTAATTCTAACAACATTAAAGAAATATTAATTAATCCTTTTCTCTAACCTAGGTTTCATCTCGATATTTTTGTGTCGTCTTCTTCTTTCTCTTTGATTTTTGTTTAATCGACAACGACATTAATATTAATGTAGGTTGTCGACCGTCGGTTATTATTAGTTACTTTGTTTTTTCATACTATGTCATTTGTTTTCCTTTTTTCCTTGCATGTTTTTAATTTTGAATAAGAATTCACTTCCTTATGCATGTTCTTTTCAACTCTTGTGATAAATTCCTTATAATTTTTTGTATGTTTTCGCATGCATTTGCAGTTGTTTTAGTTCTCTCACAAAAACTCTCACAATATTTATTTTCTGATTAGTTTATCGGTGGTCACATATAGTTAGATCCCCTCTTTGATAAAATGTTGTTTGTCGATATAATTAGAATTGTGTAGCAAAACAACCTGCTAGATAATTTGGTTCACTCATCACTCCTTTATCATTTTGTAAGGTGTATCGTTCGACAGAGACAATAAATTTTTATGAAGGTTATTAGGTTCTTTTGATGTTAGTCGTCATTCTTATGGGAATGTTTCATTTCGCTTCATATCTTTAGGTTTAATATTTTTATTGAGTTTTTCGATGACTATTATCCTCATTTTTCTCTATATGTGTGGGTGCGTTGTAATTTATGATTCATTTCAAAAAAATTATTAATGAAATCAAATTAGTCATTGTTAAAAAATCTAACAATATTGTTATCAAACTGTAAATCTATATTTATTTTTGAAAATATAATATATCTCATCATTATACATAATATTTACTTGTTTATTTTTAAAATTCTATCAAAACTCAAACTTTATTAAAAAAAAGTTTAATTAACCCAAAATTTAAAATAACACCAGATTTATAATTGTTTAACTGAAGTTTTAAATTTGAAATTTAAAAAATATAGTAATGCTAAATAGTTACTAAAGAGAATAATAATCTTTTAAAATCTTATCTATATGAAATAATTAATCATTATTTAAATCATTAATATAGGATTCATGTACAAAGAAAAGAAAACCAGCCCACTAAAGATACCAATCAACTTCCAAAAGCAAACTATCTTTTATTTTTTTATTTTTTTATCTTTCTCTAAATTTGTTTTCTTTTGTAGTTTTTGGACAAAGTAGTAAAATCAAAAATGAAAAATCAGGTAGTCATGTAGCTTGTTAGCTAGAAAAGTTAAGTGAAGGGCAGGGTATCACATGGAAAGACTTTTGTTTCTCTCTGAACACTTTCATCTTCTATCCTTCTCTCACGTTTTATTCTTTACTCGTCTATTTTAAAAGGACGTCTTCAGTTATTTTAAGCGGTATATCTAAAAATATTTTTTAATATATATATTAATAATATAAAGTTTTTTTTAGAAAATAAATATCAATAAAATTTTAAAATAGATATAATCAGTAAAATAAATAAAATCAAAGTTTATTATAAGCACGAACATGGTCCGCTGACTATTTCCCTATAACAAGTTTAGTATTATACTTTTGGAAGGATTTTTCTCGTTTATGGAGAAATGTGTAAAATTAAAAAAGAAAGTCTTAAGATTCAATTTAGTCCTTGAGTTATATCCCCCATTTTACTTTGACGTTTTAGTTCTTTTTAACACTCAAACTATTATTCTATCTTTTTAGCGATATATAGATATATATATGGTTAGGATCCACTTACACCTAGTGTAAATTTTTTAATTTTACACATTTTTAGGATAGTTGGATGAGGAAAATTCAAAGGATGAGATTAACTCCTTTTTTTTCCAGTGAATCTTCACATTTCCTACTATTAATCTCAGCCTTTTTTTTTCCCTCATACAACGATTCTAAAAATATGTAAAACTAAAATGTTTTACATTATGTAATTGGATCATGCCCCATATATATATATATATATATATAGGGTAAATTGCATCATTCCTCATTGAAATATACTATTTCTCTTATTTTACTCACTGTACTTTCAATTTATCGAATTTACTCACTGAACTTTCAAATTGATCATGTTTTGATCATTCTAAATTATTTTATAATTATTTCTATATGACATGGTTTTTAATTATTTAATATAAAATAATATAAAATATAAAATAAAAATAGAAGGTAGTCGGAGGATACCATCGAACGTCGTAGATGGTGGTCGTTCGGTGTCAAATTTCATGGGTCACTTCGTCTCGACACTCTGAGTCAGGATTCACCCTCCATTTTGTCATAACTTGCTCTGAAGTCCACAAATTAGAGATCAAAAGTGAGTAAACTGAAACGTGTCAGTCAAGATTCATGGGTTTTGGGACATTTTTTGGTGAAATAATCACCAGATTCGGACTCAGGGGTCGAGATGAACAAAACCTATGAAATTTGGGACCGAATGACCACTACTATGGCAGTCGACGATGGCATCCAACCACCTTCTGTTTTTATTTTATATTTTCAATTATTTTATTCTAAATAATAATAAAATACCACTTCATACAATAATAATAATAAATTAATTCAGAATGATAAAAACATGAGTAATTCAAAAGTTTATTGAGTAAATTAGAAAAATTAAAAATAAGATAAGTATAGTTCAATAAAGAAAAATGTATTTTACTCATATTATAATGTCAATCAATAAAGATATGATATGTGACGAAGGATTTCATTCGTAACGTGAATAAAATAACTATATGGCTAGGGATGGCAAACGGGCGGGTCGGGTGCAGATACCCCCTCCCCCATCCTCATACTCACCTAATATTTTTCAATCCACCACCCGCCCACCACCCATGATGGGTACAAATTTTCAAATTCACACCCGCCCACGCGGGTATATTTTTAAATCCATCCCCACACCCACTACCCACTAGCGACATACCCATCTAGACCCGCCTGACAGCAAACTAATGGGATGTTGGAGTTGGTTCCCAGACAGTTCGTGATGGGGTAGCAGCGCATGCTTCAATTTGTTAGAGGAGTAGCTCTACGAATGTTATGGAGACAGATTGTAGGGAGCATGTAGTCGCAGAGCTGGATTGTTGTGTTGCTTTCGATGTTAATGCTCATAGTGCGCCTAATATGGGTTTTGAGGGGCTAAAGAACATGGAAACTACTGCTTTTGATGTTAATGCTTATAGTACGACTAATTTGTGTTTGGATGGGCAGCATGGGCTAAAGAACATGGAAAGTGACGTGGTTAGTGGGATTATGGGTTTAATCAAAGAGCCGAATATTTTCCTAATTAAAGACCAGATTAAAGACTAAATATCCTTAATATTTGGATAAATTATATGTTATATATTATACAATATTAAAATTTATAAATTAGTCTCTAAAATTACACCTAAATTTATAATGGTCCAAAATTTAATAGATATTTAGCTGGGTGGGCGGATGTGGGGCGGGCGGATGCGGGCCAGGCGGATGCGGGGCGGGTAATGTCTCAAACCCATTACCCGCCCACCACCCACGACGGGTACCACTTTATAAATCCACACCCGCCCACTACCCGCTAAAATTATACCCATCCCCGCTCCAATTGGAGCGGATGCGGTGCGGAATCCACGAAACTGTACCCGTTTGTCATCCATATATATGGCCATTATTATTAGCTTGTATTGTCATTTTTAACACAATTTAACTTTTTAATAAAAATTGAGACAAAAATCATCGTTTAAGTATTGTTATGGATAAAAAAGGTATAATAACAAAATTAGTCCCCTAACATTTATTAGATTGATCATTGTTTGTTGTTACTCTATTTTGAAGCATTTTGCCCTCCAACATCTCATTTTAGGGTAAAAAGACCTATAACGTTTGACTAAATAATCACTTAGACCCTTTTTCTTTTATTATGGAGAATTTTGGCCTCCCAATAACAATTAATTTTAGGGTAAAAAGACATATATTTTGAAGCATTAATCATTTGTTAACTAATGGTTTACATCTACAGAGGGGTTTTAATGTCCTAAAATGAAACGTTGGGGTCATAATGTTCCAAAAAAGAATAAAGGCCAAAATAATAAATTTGATAAATGTTGAGCTTATTTTTTGTATTATGCCTAAAAAAATGTTTAAATACTAAATTTTGAAAGGAATAAAATTGAGGACTAAAGCTGAACCTCTAACATATACAGAAGGCGCAGATCATGAAGCACGCCTTCCATGGGAAATGTTGATATGGCGCCACGTGAGAAGGCGTGTTTCAAGGGGCATGCCTTCCAAGGTTCACATCATCCCTCAAAGCATTTAAAATAACATGCTTTAAAAAAATTAAAAAAATTAAAAAAATTAAAAAAAATTAAAAAAAATTAAAAAAAAAATTAAACTATAGGGACTAATATCATAATTTAATACATAGTAGTTCCATAAGTTGAAGAGTTTAATGGGGTTTTATATAGGAATATTATAGTGTTTAGGTTGTGTTTTTTGACAATGTGGGATAAACATAGTAGTTCCATAAGTTGAAGAGTTTAATGGGGTTTTATATAGGAATATTATAGTGTTTAGGTTGTGTTTTTTGACAATGTGGGATAAAAGTTAAAATGTGTATTCAATTACTTTTTTATCTTTATATCTAATAAATCTACTTATACACTATTGTTAACTCATTTGGGATCTCCCCTTTAAAAATTGTTGAAGCTCATATACCTAATCAATTTTTTGATTAGTAGAAAGCAACAATCTTGATTATCATAACGTGAAAAAATACTTTTAGGTGCTTCTTAAAGATGTGTTAGACTCTTAAGCTTGCCAATTTCAGAAAGAATAACTTCTTGTAGCTTATTCCATCTCAAATTACTACAACAAAAACATATAATTAAATAAATTACATGAAAATTACCCATTATCTCATAATCTAAATTTAAAATAAAAGAACATACAATATTTAAAGCGTTTGAGACACCAGAATATAATTAATTTTATATTCGGTCTTACATAAGTATACCGTTTTCTCTTTGATATACATCAGCTTAACATTTAATTTAGTATAAACCTTAATAATAAATATTAATATAATGTAATTATTTAAATACATTAATATATAAAAAATATCTAATATTAATTAATGTAAACCTTAATAATGAATATTAACCTAATGTAATTTAACAATAGTGTATAAGTAGATTCATTAGATATAAAGATAAAAAGTTAAGAAATACACCTTTTAGTTTTTATCTCACATTATCAAGAAATACAACCTATACACTCCAATATGTCAATATAAGCTAACTCCATTAAACTCTTTAATTCATGTAACTAATATGTATTAAGTTACGATGTTAATTTCTATAATTTTATTTTCTTAAAGTATATTTTTTTAAAATGTTTTGAGGGATGCAGTAGATTTTGGAAGGTGTGCCCCTTGAAACACACCTTCTCACGTGACGCCATGTCAACATTTCCCATGGAAATAGTATTTTATGATTCGCACCTTCCTTTATGTGACGCTAGCTCAGACAAAACCCTGTGAATACACGAATGGTGATTCGTACTTTATCAGAAAGAGTGTTAGGTTGATAATATTAAGAGAGAAAATGCCTGACAAATAATTAATGAGTCTAAATGTGATATTCCTACAATTTTATTTTTGAATTTATATTTCTTTCGGAAAATGGGTCCCATTTATTGAAGGGCATGTGATGTGGGTCCCTCCCTGCGTCAAAAACTAGTATTTTTCATCACCGGTCACAAGCAATTTAAAAATTTTGATCAAAGCTGGAAGTTTTTAGGAAAAGGAATGATGCGTTTAATCAAAGGGCAAACTATGCTAATGAACTTTGGGTTAATTTTTTTCTCATTACCGAGTCAAGTGAATTTTTTTACATATTTTATATAAGAGTAAAGTACATAAATAGTTTCTCAGAGGATCGTTAATTTTTAATAAAAAATAATAAGTTTGAAACATAATAATAGTCAAATGACTATTTTGTAAATTTTAATAGTTAAGAGAATATACAAAATGATATCTCGTGAATAAACGAATAATGATTTACGCTTTATAAAAAAAATGCTAAATTAATAATATTATGATAGAAAATATCTAACAGATAATTAATTAATTTGAGAGTGATATTTCGATCAAATCGGCTTCTTAGTCTAAGTTCCTACAATTTTATTTTGAATTTATATTCATTTCCGACAATGGGTCCCACTTATTTAAGGGCATGTGATGTGGGTCCCTCCATGTTTGTATAAAAAACTAGTCTTTTTCATCAACGGTCACAAACAACTTAAATTTTTTGATCAAAGCTGGAAGACTTTAGGAAAAGGAATGATGCGTTTAATCAAAGTGTAAACTATGCTAATGAACTTTGGGTTAATTTTTTTCTCATTATTGAGTCAAGTTGTTTTTTTTACATATTTTATTTAAGGTTAAAGTAAACAAATAGTTTCTAATTATATGATATTATTTTGTTAAGTAGTAGTCTATTAAAAGTTTCAAAATATTCTTTTAATTATAGGATACTGATTTGTATAGTCTCTCAACTATTAAAATTTACAAAATAGTCATCTGACTATTTATTATATTACAAACTCATCATTTTCTGTTAAAAAATTAACAGTCGTTTGAGTTGGACGTTAACATGCTAACTGAGATATGATAGTCATTTAAAATTTTGAGATCAGAATTTATCATATCTCAGTCAATATGTTAAGGTCCATCTCATACTGTCGTTAAATTTTTAACTGAAAATGACGAGTTTGGAATATAATGAATAGTCAGATGACCATTTTGTAACTTTTAATAATAGAGGGACTCGACAAAGCAGTATCCTACAGTCAATGAACTATTTGTGTAATTTACCCTTTATCTAAATAATATTTAAATCCATTTTATTGATGAAAAAAATACTTGAAAAATAAGATGTGAGGTATAGGGATCTAATATACGACTTTTTGTAAAGGGAATCAATAGAGTATTCAAAATTACATGACTCCACGTATTTAATTCGTTGACTCGTTGATTTGAACAAAATTTATTGGATATTTTTAAATTATTTTAATTTTCAGATTGGGTATTCATCTCGCTATTTTTCAAGAGATTCGAATTGGGTCACAAGTCATAATTTTTTACCTGTTGAGTATTCAGTATCTTTTTTATTTTTATTTCGGATTAATTTTTTTTATTTTTAATTCTCAAATTATTTCACCCGAATATTTTAAATACCTAATTTTTTAAATTATTTTTCCATGTCATTCTAAATTATTTTTTCACCCCAAAACCTTCTAAATTAGTTATATTTCTTTAATTCTATTTTTATATTTCTTTTTAAGTTTTAATTTTGGATTATGTAATTTAGATTTTTAAATTTTATGTTTAGATAATGTAATTTATATTTTATTTTATATAAAGTATGCAATAGAAAAAAAATACAAGAACTATATAGTCTAGTAAATCATCGATGGTGTCAACCAGGTCTTTGTGCTAGAGGCATTTTCGTCCAAAAAAGTTCCTACTTGCTTATATTTCATTTTTCGACACATTTAATCAAAAAGAAAAAGAAAAAAGCATTTTTGACACATTAATGGCTAGAGCTCGTCAAGAGCATTGAAATGAGCTTTTGAATTATGAAAATCAATGGTTGAATTATCCAGAAATCATACTTTAAAATTAGAAATGGAAATGGATATCAAAATATTTCTTAAAACGAAAATTATCTCAAAATATAAACAAAAATGATATAAAAATGGAGAGTTTCCTAAAATGAAAGTGTTGTAAATTTTTAAATGAGATAAAAGTTTTAGGTTATGGGAGAGAATATTAAAATTTTGATATTTTTTTGGGCAATTTTTAGGCTCGTAAACGAACCGAACGTTCAACGAACCGTTCGTGAACAGTTCGAAAGGAAGTTCTCTTATTTATTAAACGAACGAAAATGAACAATATTTTGTGTTCGTTTAATTAAATGTAGCTCTGGTAAAGCTGGTCTTCCTTTAACTATGTTATATTCGTTATTTTTTTCAACTTAAATCAAGATAAAACCATAATCATATTATCTAAAGTAGTTAGACTTTCTATGGAAATATATACTACTGACAAGTAATCACAGTTTATAAGTGAATCCCTGCAATAAGTAACTTAATTTCATTTGAATTTGTCAATCTACTTGATGAGGCTACAAAATGGAACTCAACCGAAGAGTGTGTTTTTTTTTTTGGAGAAATCAATGCCTGTGGATGCTAGCAACATAAATACTTCCACAATATATTACCTTAAATAGAAGTTTCGTGGCAAAATATTGAAGAATGATGAGTTTATTCCAATCAGTTTTCTGTATATGCATTATAAGTATCTATAATTGAGTTGGTGTCTCAAGTCATGTGATACCAACTCGTTGGTGTCTCAAGTCATGTGATACCAACTCGTTGGTGCAATTAAAAAAAAAGCATCAAAATAAAAGAACTAATAGGGATTTTGTTTTTTTACAAAGAATTACTTATTTACTTCTAAAAAACCTATATTTTTTTTAAAAAAAATCCCCACTTAGAGAACTAACCATTTTTTAAAAAAAATCTTGGAATTTTAAAAAAACTTTTTAATTTTTTTTTTCCATTCAATGTGTGTGATGTTCTAGTGTTCTATAATATGATAATAGAAGATATTCAGTATGTTTGAATTGGAATTAGGCCTTACAAATTATTATGTGGTGCACTTTGTCTATTTTCCACTTCTATTACTTGATTAGTAGTACTTTTTGTGGTTATTGTTTCAGGTTGACTGCTTTCATGTCTTGCGTAAGAGTGATCCTCCATTCGTCCCGCCTGCAATATTTATCAAGCAAGGACTTACTTCATTTGTACGTTCTGACAGTTGATCTGATATCGTTGTTTGCCATAAGTTTTGGAGTTCTTAATTGTTCTTCACCTAGTTATCAACTGTTTGTTCTCATGAGAGTTTGTTTTGATCAGTCTTTTGCTGGATTTTACCATTTTAGTATATGTTGCATCATTCTTATACTCTTAATAATATCATTTTATAAAGAACAAAATAGTTCATGTAGATTAAAGTGTCATAAATATCGCAAAGGAAAAGTTTGATCTTTTGAAACTTCATCTGATCTCATTTCATGTATCCATTGTGCTGCACAAAGGAATCATCAAGTGTAATATGTACGTTTTGCTTGCTCAGGGCTTTCTTTTTGGCTGGTCAGCAATTATTTACTGACTTCAGGTTTTAAGACTGTTAAAGTATTCCCTGGATAGAGATCAATAATAGTGCATAAGCTATTAACCCCATTAATGATTCACTTTATGCTAATTTCCATTTCTTCATTTCAGTAATCGACACTTTTCTTGTAACACGGAAATGGATATTTCTATATTGCCAGTTGGTATGGGCACTTGGGTGGAAATGTACCTTATTTCTCATCTATGGTTGTGTTTGAAATTGGATTACTTGGATTTTTTTTTATATTGATCAACAACTCCATTTTCCCCGGTATGAACATTGTTTATTAGACATTTAGAATATGTGGCATAATATGCATTTTAAACTGTAATAATCAGTTTCTGTTATGTTTGTTGTTTGTGGTTGTTATGAAATTGATTTGTTCTGTTCAATAGCTTTGTATTTTGGAGTTGCACAAAGCATGTAGCCTTATTGTTTTTGAAATATGTAGCATAAGCTCAAAGAAACTTTTGCATTTTCTTCTTTATTCAGTCTGTGATCTGAGTTTTTTTTTTTCTATTTTTATTAGGTGACATTTGTAGTTACCCATTTCAATGATCCGAGGATATCAAGTGCAGATTTAAAGGATCTTCTTCTCCAGTCAATATCAGTCTTGGTGGAGTACAGAGAGTATTTGGCAGCTTTTGAAAACAAAGAAGTGGCCAAACAGAGAATGCCAAAGGCATTATTGTCAGCATTTGATAACCGATCTTGGATTCCGGTTACAAAACATTATTTTACGTCTCTGCAAAGGTTATGGGTTTGGTTCTTCAAAGCATCATCCTCAGTTATTTTCAGGTGAATAGTGTGAAACATTCATTACTAGTGCTTCTTATCCATCTTTTCATCTGAAATTACTTATCTTTCTAACTTTTCCCTGGGCCCCCTATATTTTTATAGAGATTTATGCGTGAAGCTTGCATCTCTGATGAAGAGTTGTTCTCGGCTTTTCTCATCGTCTATTTAACACTCTCAGATGGACAATGACTGAATTCTCAGTTTCCATTCGGGAAATGCAAGAAAAATACCACGTATGATTATGCTTTCATTTGAACAAATATATTCTTTTGTTATGTAAAGTCTTTTGGAGGTTGTGTATTTATGCTTCTCGTATATATACTATTTTTTATCTGGACTTACATCTTTCCAGACTTGTATATGCATTGTTGACCATTTTTCTACAATTTTCATAAAGTAGACAACGAAATGAAAATGGTTACACAAATGTTCATGGCAAAAAAGCCGACAATGCATAGTTCCTAACCATGAAACTGAATTGCTGTTATAAAACGCTACTACCATTTCCAGATTGGAACAGGTTTATAAGGTAAATGTATGGGATCCAGAGATTGTAATACTTGTCGCCGTCTTTTCTTGTTGCCTAGCATGTCATGGTCTCTCAAATCCAAATACTTGTCAAAAAGGTGAATTTATAAACATGCTTTCTTCATCCTCTAATTTTATAAAGGAATCTAACAGGATCGCTAGTAATTTAGTTCTACTTGAAAACATAGCTTGGATGTTTTTTCTTTGTATTTCATGGATGGCTTGAGATGTAAGATGTACAGGTGAATTTGGAGAGAATGTTGATGATACTGAGGAGCATTTTAGGTAAAAGGTCTGAGACAACAATGACCGGGGCAGGCAAAGAACTTTATTTTAGACGAATCATCTGGAAAATATTGCAGATAGAAAAGGGAAATGATTTTTTTTTTCTTGAATTGCTAGAAATGCTGGTCATTGTGAATTCTGGTGGTTCAAAGATGGTCGGATAACATTAAGGTTAAAAAAGTCGTCAATGGTGGGTTCCAGTTTGAAGTTTTGTGTTATAGCTTGCTAAAGTTTAACTGTTTGGCCTTATATATTTGCTACCTAGCATCTGCAAGATTGTAAATTATTTGCATTACTTTGTCATAGAATTGAAGTTATAGTTCTTTCATCACAGGAAAAATGACTACTTATGCATATCCCATTTAAGTTGATGGTTATAACATTTTGTCAGCATGCAATGTAAATTCCCTATGTGAGGATATCCCCAGCCTTTTCATTTGATTTGAACTCATCTTCCTTGGGATCTATATTTGATGTTCTACACCTGCTTTTGCAGGTACTGGAGTTTCAGCAGAGGAAATGCTGTGTCATATTTGATCTCTCGTGTAATCTTGCAAGGGTATTGGAGTTTTGTACCCATGAGATCCCTCAAGCATCGTTTCTGATAAATTGATGTTGAAATTTATTTCATGTTTGGGCTCATACCCCTTGTCCTAATGGAAGGTTACATTTTCTATATCTTTGGAGTTATCTCGATATGCTTTCGCCCTTCATGATGTGTTTAAGTTATGATTTTCTTTTTCTATTCCATTTCCAGTTATATGTAAGTCAATGGTGTTTGATTCGGAAAAAAACTTTTGGTTCAATTTAATCATGTATAATATATATAATATTGTTGATGGAAAAAATTGTTTTGATGGTAATAGAACGATTTACCATTTTAGTTTGGACACAAAATCGTAGTTGGTGATTATGTGATGGTTGATATTTATATTTTTTGTTTCTGTAAGAAGGGAAAAGAGGTAGAAGTAGAGATGATTGTTTTAGATCCTTCTCTTAATCTTGATTAAGAGGTTTTATAGTGACCTCCAATACTGGTGATAAATCACGATCGTGATAGTTATTTGTAGGTTGGCAGATTCAAAGAGGTGTCAAGAAGTCGCGACTTCCCAAGAGGTGCAGAGCACTTGAGATTTTATGTTCGGAGATGTTCTATAGGGGCTTTAACCAAGGAGTTCTCTAGAGGTCTTATCTTGATGTACGAAGAATGATCTTACATAGGAGATGTTCTATAGGGGCTTTAACCAAGGAGTTCTCTAGAGGTCTTATCTTGATGTACGAAGAATGATCTTACATAGGAGATTCAGAGGATGTACATCGCTTGTCTTCCTTTGTCAAGGGAATGCCATAAAGCGACTTATTATGTGACTTGTGCGTGCATATATACCTAGCATTAAACGAGTTATTTTTCGGAAACCCTCATGATGATTATTTTTGAATGATTGGGGATTGTACATGTATCGTTGCTTGATTGGTGTAATGAAGGGACTTGATATTTCAATCATCGGGTAGACATTACGTTCTTTGGTTATCTAAGAGAAAAGTTAGGACAACATCCTCAATTTTCATTTGTATTGATTTTTGACTTACCTTGTTCTCTTCAATATTTCACTGTTTACTTTTTGGGTTTTCCTATTGCAATGACAAAGAATGTTGCGATGGCAACAAAAAAATTAAAGAAGAGATTAAAGTAAATAGATCGTCTCCAATGGACGGTGACATTTTTATGTCCAAGACTAGTCGAAATGAGGTCAAAATTGAGTCATTGTTGTTGTGGGATAATTTTGAGATCGAGTTTGATCTCTCTCGGAGCCATATTGCATGAACAATTGTAGTGACGTTTCCAGTGAGGATAAGGAGTGGTTTTACCTTCCTTTGTTTTCTCCGGAGGTCAGGTTCCATCTTCCGACACACGATTTTGTGAAAGAAATGCTAAATAATTATGAGAAAATTTTGTGTCAATTGGTTTGAGTTTCTTAATGGATCATTATTGATTATTTTATTATGTTCTGGTGTCGGAAGTGGGCGCCCTCGATTTCCGTTTATGTATCATGTTGAAAATTCAATATTAGCCTAAATAAGTTCACACCTAAATTAATTTGATGTCATTGCTTACATCAATTTAGTTTTGATGTATTGCTTACATCAATTTAGTTAGGTGAAAATTAAGTATTTTTCTAATGTTTTAATTTCAATAGTTTAGATTATTTAGTGCTTATTTTAATGAGTAGTTTAGATCGTTTCTTGTAACCTATAAATACCCTACTTGTATTTGAGTTTTATCATCCAACAATCAAAGCTTAATTATAAGCATTTGAAAGCTTTCTTAAGAATTCTTCCCTTTTGCAATTTTGTGAGATTATTCTAAAGAGAGTTTTTCTTCTTCTCGATCAATTAGAGTTTTTACTCTATTTTGATTCAACAATTGGTATCCGAGCCACGTTTTTAAGGTTTCTTGAAATTCCAAGTATGCTCTGTGACTGCAGTTTTTAACTGATCTTCCACATCAGAAAAGATTTCTTGAGATTATTGTCGGGGTTATTACAAACCTTGTGGAGCTTCTTTGTGCTTAGAGTAATTTAGTACTCTGCACATTTGTTACTCAAGCTTGTTTGGTGTAGTCAAAGCTTTGCCGTTAAGATGGGTGATCTTCAAGTAGTTGGAGGAATCAAGAAGCTCAACAACAAAAATTACAACACGTGGGTAACATGTATGGAGTTATACTTACAAGGTCAAGACCTTTGGGAGGTTGTCGGTGGTGGTGAAGTTACACAACCGGCGGCAGAAGATGCCACTGGCATCTTGCGAAAGTGGAAAATTAAAGCAGGCAAAGTAATGTTTGTTTTAAAGACCACAATTGAAGAATAAATGTTGGAGCACATCCGGGATGCTAAAACACCAAAGGAAGCATGGGATATTTTTGTTACACTCTTTTAGAAGAGGAACGATACAAAATTGCAATTTCTCGAGAATAAACTTCTATCAATGGCGCAACGCGACATGACGGTTACCCAATACTTTCACAAGGTGAAGTCGATATGCCACACAATTTTAGAATTAGATCCGAAAGCTGCTATTGGGGAAGCCATGATAAAAAGAATAATTGTCCATGGTTTGAGACCCGAATATCGAGGGTTTGTTGCCACTGTACAAGGATGGCCGACATAAACATCGCTTGTTGAGTTCGAAAATTTGCTTGCAGGTCAAAAATCCATGGCCAAGAAAATGGGAGAAGTCTCACTGAAAGGTGAAGAGGAAGCGCTCTACACCAGCAAAAGAAGTGGCACTTTTCAGCGGTATACTGACAGTGGATCTAAAAAAGATAGTGGCAAGGTGAAAAATTACCAAGGAAAGGGAGGCCCTCATTCAGGGGGAGCTTCCAAGAATCACGGTAATAGTAGAAAGTTCGATGACAAGTGTTATAATTGTGGGAAGATGGGCCACATGGCAAAAGCCTGTTGGACCAAGAAAAAGCCTGTTGAAAGTAATACTGCTACTTCCAGTTCGAAGGAGAATAGTGAAGATGGTTGGGATGCTGCAGCGTTATTTGCTACGGAGGAAGAAGAATTAGCTCTCACGGTAACAACACCAGAACAGATTGACTACAAGAATGATTGGATTGTAGATTCGGGCTGCTCAAATCTTATACTGGGTGACAAACAGAAGTTACAAAACTTGTCTGAGTACAATGGAGGTCGCGTGGTGGTGACAACTGACAACTCAAGGTTACCGATAACTCACATCGGTGAGACGATAGTTACGCCTCGATATAATACTAACCAGGTATAACTCCAAGATGTTTACCATATCCCAGGAATGAAGAAAAATTTGCTATATGTGGCTCAACTAACATCATCAGGCCATTATGTCTTATTTGGTCCCTAAGACGTGAGGTTTATCGTGACGTCAAAATCTCATAAACACCAACAATGGAGGGACGACATTTGGAGTCAATTTACGTGATGTCAGCAGAGTCTGCATATGTAGACAGGACAAAGAAAAATGAGACATCAGATCTATGACACATGCGGTTAGGTCACATTAGCTATTCCAAGCTAAGTGTGATGGTGAAGAAGTCGATGCTTAAGGGGCTTCCTCAACTAGACGTGAGAACAGACACGGTCTGTGCGGGATGTCAGTATGGTAAAGCACACCAATTATCATATGACGAGTCGAAGTTAAAGCAAAAGA